CATTTGCCTGTTTACCAGGTGAAACAGTGCTCAGTGCTAAATTGTTAGCCAAGAATAAAACACTGAGGGCTGTTTTCACGTGTCCTCTTCAAACTCATTTCCAAACACTCTGCTGTATTTTAGCTCTGTTAATAACATTGTATTATTATATATGCTGGCCAGTTTTGGGGGTTTGATGTAGACATTAAAATCTGCGCATTGATCTAGGGTAAACCTAAAATGATGGACAGAATAGATATTGAGAAGTTTCTGTTGGTGATACAGTGATCTTTAGGTTGTAATTAACATGGAGTGCTTTAAATGAGATTAACCTCTGATAGAATACTGCTAATATGCTACAATAATAAACTGTTATTTTGTATCTGTATCTAATTCCCCTGTTCTTCCCAGATGAGTAGTTACTTTTTCAGACCAGTGAGGCTTATTGTGGTACCTTAAAAGTTTGTTGTAGCTGGAATAATTAACAGTTAATGATTGTGCTTAGATACAGTGGTGGGGCAGAGGAAGGAGATATTGTAGTTTATGGTACTTAAAAAATGACATTACAAAGAAATGGGTCAAGCTTTGTTTTTAGTGTCTTATGTGAAATGAATGTAAGTATTTAATTTAGTATTTTCACTGTTATATTAAGTGCATGCAGCTTCGAAGACTAATGCCTAATTTAGGAGCCAGGCTAGAGTTGTTCCACAGGAAAACCTCTGTATTACTGAGGACCTGGTGTTCATGCTGTTTGTGTTCTTCAGAGCTTCTTCTTACTGTGCTCTTGTATTTGCTTGTACAGGTTTAACCAGTGACATCTTCATTCTTTCCCAGGACTTGCAGTTTCTCCATCTATAGTTAACATCAGTTTCCAGAATACATTTATATTTGTATTTAGGGTCAGCATAGAGGTCTTCAACTCTCCCAAGACATGAGTTGCTCTTTCTTACCAATGCAGCCAACTGCAAATCACCATGCACACAATTTTATTGCAAAACACGTCACAAATGTACTTGTCTGCTCTGAATGTCCAGAAGAGGGCTTGAAGTCAAGAGTGGGAGGATTAGTAGTGCTGGTCCTTGGTGTGTCTCTTCCCTTCAAACACTTCAGAAAACATCTGGAAGCCAGTGGAGCTAAAGCAGAGCTCTTAAGTGGGGACTGATTAGAATTTTGGAGTCAACCTGGATTGCTTCTGCAGGTGCAAGTGTAGGGTTCACTCCATGAGCAGTGGTGGTTGCCCTAGAAGCTACAGTCGTTGGTGTTTATTGTAGACATATGTCAAGAATTTAACAAGCATTCTTGGTTACCTTTCATTCATATCTGTAAGTACAAGGACTTAAATTGCAGGTAGCTTTGGCAGGAGGAGTGTGGAAATGATGTATCTCTTGTTTGAGATATGTTTGATCCCTTACTTTGCTCTGAAACGTGCCTGCTCTTAATTTCAGCGGCCTGTCAGCATTTCCTGAACTTCCTTAGCATCATCATCCCTGTAAATGAACGTCATTCCAGATACACCTACGGCTTAGTGCTTTAGAACAGTATTCCTGCTTATGAATCATGGTTGCTATAGTTTAACAATAAGAAACAAAAAAACCCTGTGACACTTCTTATGACCTCCAAGTATGAATTTAATGGGAAAAAATGTTTTTTTGGAATATAGAAGTACTCAAATTAGCCAGCCTGCTTTCCTTCCTTAAAGTTCTGTCAAACTGTTCTTTGTGTTCATGGAGAAATATTAAAAATAAAATGGCTTTGGTCTTCTGTGTTAAAAAAGCTTTTTGTTGGGCTGTGCAGCTGCAAAGAACTTCTCTTAAGAGAAGATTGATGGCATTTACATGACACAACTTGAACGTGTAATCTTAATTCAGTGATATGAAAAGCATGTTAATAGCTAGGCTGCAGTCTCCTGCAATATTGCAACCCCAAAAGAGAATAACTTGGTTTGTTGGAATTAATCTTTGTCTTGCACCATGAGTATAAGTGCTCCTAAGCATGGTATGCCTCCACAGAACCTTGTGGGTGATAATCAGTGTCAACTTTGATACATCTCTAAATGGAGTAATAAGTTAAAATGTGTGGATCAGACTTGGCTGCGTTTTCATCCACCTGGTTGTTGTTGTCTTAAAGGGAATGTAGAATCAGCTTTAGGGGGAAAATGTTGCAAAAACAGTGTTTAGTTACTTCCAGTAAAACTCACTTCTGGAAGATTTCTTTCAAAAGCATTTGTAAGATTTTTCTGTTGATGGACAAAACTGTGTGTTTTTGGTTTGTTTTTTTTTTTAATACTCCCAAGGATTTTTAGTGGAAGTGTCAATTTAAAATCTTGCTGACTGTGGTACTGAAGCCAGCCTGTGCCTTCTAATAAAATGAAATCCATCTTGTAACAAAATGCCAGTTTGTGGAATTTCCTCACAAAACGTTAGCTGTTTCAAGGCATGACTGACTGCACGCTTCACCTCGATTAACTTGCAGTAATGCACAGAAGGCAGCAGGCAGGATAATGGGCAGTATTTTGCAATACGTGTTGTTTCTTTAATCTCAACGTAAAGGGTTGTTTTATTCATTTGCATTCTGATTATGGAATCCAGACTCGTGCTCACTGCCTGCATCTGAAATAAAGGAGCTGACGTTGCCGTGATAACAAGCTTACGCAGAGATCTGTGGGAGCACGCAACGTGACGTCCTCAGTAGGTTCTTGAATGTCAGTATTGTCTTTTAACACAATTTCTCTTTTATGTGGCACTGTTACAGTACTTCAAGCTGTATTTTTTTAATGACTACTGAGACACTTTATTTTCTTCACCCTGTTTGTGAAACTAAGGAAAAGAAACAGGGGAATGCCAGGTGGAAACGAACTTTTTCCAGCAGCTTGTGAAACTGGATGGTGCTCTGTCTCCATCTCCTCTTTTCTTGTGTTGTTTTGCTGTTGAGAGAAGTTGCTGGGATGAAATTAAGGTGACATCTGCTGTATGTCTTTCCTTCAGAAGTTAGAGTGAGTCACCCAACACCTCAGGTGACACTGTTTTCACTTGGCAAGTGCATCCGTGGTGCATTTATAGACAGGGTGTTGGGGGGAATACCCAGTTTGAAGGCTGCTGGGTTAGCTTCCTGATAGCAACTCCATAGAAGCATCACCAAATGGTCTGTCTGGAAGTGTTGAAATTCAGTATCTGAAATAGAATAACCTCATCCCTTCAACAGTGAGGAAAGGGTGTGCCTGATGGGAGTACTACTGTAATGTTTTAGATTATTGTTCTGAGGCTGCATTAATTGATGTGACCCTTGAAAAAGCAGGTCCTGGCCACTTGCTCCTTGTAATGGCACAAGTTGAGTTTTCATCTGGCTCGGTTCCCTGATCTGTCTTACTGTAAAAACAATTTTAGGAGAGAAAAGGGAGCAAACAGCCAGGGGCACAGGGGGATTTCAGACCTTTTTTGGTGGCTGACTGCATGGTTGTAACATAATTGTGTTAAAATTTCAGCTGAGAACAGATCTATGTTGTAACACCTGGGTGTAAACTCCGTAACTGTATATTAAAGATTAGGGAAGGAAAACCCAAAGCATTGTGTTTTGAGTTGTATCCCTTCAGAAATCAATGCCCAAAGTTTTAAATATTATATATTGGACTACTCTTTAAAAGTCAACAATGCACTTTTGAACTGTTTTTTTTAAAAAATATCTCTTGTTATCTCAGTTGTCTGCTACTTCAAACCTTCTGCTGGGGCCTTCACCTGCCAGTCCTTGAGTCTGGAGATGGTATGGTACAGCACTACAGATTAAAGTCAGACATTCTTTTATCCTCAAGATTTAACCTCCTTCTTATGGTGGGAAAGTCCCATAGATGAGATTAGAAGAAATTGATGAGATTAGAAGAAATTGTTGAGATTAGAAGAAATTGATAGTCCCACAGAAATTAATTAGAAGAATTCTGGACAGTTTTCAACCTCTGAAAAGACCTTGCTCACAAAAATGTGAGATCATGCAGTTAGTTTGTGGTAACGGGGGGAGAAGATCACTTCCTCTTGCCTAGTGGGCTTTTAAAATTTATCTATTTATTTAAATGAGAATTGTTCTGTTGATGAACTTCATATTTCCATCCTCAGTCTTCTGCAACAAACTCTGATCATCAAGAAATAGTATTATTTCCTTTGAAGAGATCTTTCAATGTCCCATGATACCATAAGATGGTATGGGAAGGATGAGAAGTTTTCTGTCATGTTCTGGAAGAAACAATGATGTTGGTTAAATAGTTTGTTTAACATGCTGCCCAAAATAAAGGATGTTTCAGAATAAACAATGCAGAACTTTAACACTTGTTTATTGTTTCTTAAAATGTGCTGGAAGACAGGTGATAATACTGATTAATCTGATTTTTTGTTTGTTTCAGGAAGTGAGATGGAGCTTGTGCTCTGTGAGTTTGATAGCACTGCATGGTGGGTTACATTAAGATTTCGTTGCTGCTATTTTTGGGTATGGAAACAGTTAGAAGCCTTTGGAATGAAGAACACAACCAAACTCAGCCTTCATTTTGGACACGCTGTTTCTTGTCTTTAAACTAGGTGTACTCTTGTGTCGGGTAGTAACTAAGATAACAAGTGTGAAAGTGGAATGATGAAAGTTCAGATGCTTCACCATGTTTGTCAGAAAGGTTTGTTTCACAGAAGAGTGGTTGAGGTTGGAAGGGACCTTTGAAGGTCATATCTAGTCCAACCACCCTGCTCAAGCAGGGACTCCCAGAGCACATCAACCAGGATTTTGTCCAGATGGTTTTTGAATATCTCCAGGGAGGGAGATTCCACAGCCTCTCTGAGCAGCCTGTCCCAGTGCTCAGTCATCCTCACAGTCAATAAGTTCTTCCTGATGTTCAGGTGGAACTTCCTGTGCTGCAGTTTATACCCGTTGCCTCTTGTCCTATTGTTGGGTGCCAATGAGAAGAGTCTGGCCCCGTCCTCTTAGACACTCTCCCAGTGTGGGGTACTGTTGGGTTCATCTGTGCTCATCTCTCTTTTTCTTTCTAGAATATGGTATCCAGTTTTCGTGTTTCTGAGCTGCAAGTGTTGCTGGGGTTTGCTGGACGTAACAAAAGCGGGCGGAAACATGACCTCCTGATGAGGGCACTGCACTTACTGAAGAGCGGCTGCAGCCCAGCAGTTCAGATTAAAATCCGAGAACTCTATAGGCGCCGGTACCCGAGGACGATCGAAGGACTTTCGGACTTATCAGCTATCAAACCTGCTGTTTTCAATTTGGACAATAGATCCTCTCCTGTCGAGCCTGACCTGGCTGTTGCTGGCATTCACCCACTCCCTTCTACTTCGGTCACACCTCAGTCTCCTTCCTCACCTGTCAGTTCTGTGCTCCTCCAAGACACTAAGCCCCACTTTGAGATGCAGCAGCCATCCCCTCCCATTCCACCAGTTCATCCCGATGTTCAGCTGAAAAGCCTGCCTTTTTATGATGTGCTTGATGTGCTGATAAAACCTACAAGTCTAGGTAAGTGTTTAATACCTCTGCAGGTTGCTTAATTCATTAAATTGATACTGCTTGTGACTGTGCTAAGTCCAGACCTAAATTACTTTTTGCAGCTGGGGAAAACTGGAAAGTCCCTTCCCTTCTTATCACAGACTGGTTTGGGTTGGAAGGGGCTATTAAAGATCACCCAGTCCAACCCCCCTGCAGTGAGCAGGGACATCTTCAACCACATCAGGTTGCCCAGAACCCCGTCCAACCTGACCTTGAATGTTTCCAGGGATGGGGCTTCTACCACCTCTCTGGGCAACCTGGGCCAGGGTCTCACCACCCTCAGTGTAAAACATTTCTTCCTTCTATCCAGTCTGAATCTCCCCTCTTTTAGTTTAAAACCATTTCCCCGTGTCCTATCACTCCAGGCCCTGCTAAAATGTCTATTCCCATCTTTCTTATCAGCCCTCTTTAAGCACTGGGAGGCCGCTAGAAGGTCTCCCCGGAGCCTTCTCTTCTCCAGGCTGAACAGCCCCAACTCTCTTAGCCTGTCTTCATAGGAGAGGTTCTTATTTCTACCCCTACTCTGTCTTCACCACCTGTCCCCAAAAGTGCCAAGTCACGTTTCAGAAAATAGTGTTCTCTTCTGTAAATATTTAATGATCTTTGTCTTTTGAATACTAAATAATACAGTAAAATAGTTCAGTTGGAAGGTGCCTACAGTGATATTCTAACTGCCTGACCACTTCAGGGCTGACCAAAAGTTAAAGAGTAATAGTTAAGGGCATTGTCCAAGTACCTCCTAAACACTGACAGGCTTGGGGCATGGACCACCTCTCTAGGAAGCCTGTTTGGTGTTTCACCACCTTCTCATTAAATAATTGCTTCCTAATATCTGGTCTGAACCTCCACTTTTGGCTGAAAGATTTGTACCTGAAGCCCTCTGGTACAAGTGAAGAACACAGCTGTCAGAGCCAACAAAAAAAAAAGTAATTTGGGGTCAGTAATTAATAAGTTGCAATTTCATTGGGTTGTTAGTTTGAGTTTATTTTACTGCAACAGTTGTGCAGGTTGTGACGTCTGGCACTGAAGTAGATACTTTGTGCAACCAATGTTTAGTGTTGTGTTCTATTAGTCAAGGTTTCTCAGCCTAGGGATTGTTGCCATGCTGCGTGTTAAAATGTGGAGTGGACCTCTGTCTTCCAAATAACCTGAAATCTCCATTTAACTTCCTCAGATGCCTCACTCTTTAATTAAACATGTTTATTTGGAAATATATTGTTTTCTGTCTTGAAATTCAACCTCTCTTCCCTTACATGGTAGAAAATGTTCTTTAACTATTTTTATTACTTTATTATTTTTAAACTGTTAATATTGTTTAGAAACACTTCAGCATTTTCTGAGCTGTTTGTGTCCTCTTAAGCCTTTTAGTTTCTTAACTGATAATAGAGTCTTTTTAGGCAGTGACTTGTACCTCAGTGAGGGATACACTGATCATTGGTCACCTTCCAGTGCTTTCCCAACAAGCGTTATTTACAATACCTCTTGTCCCTTCTGTTTGTGTGTTGTGACACCCTGTTAGAGAAGAATTTAGAGTTGAACCCATGTGTTGGTACAGTAGCTGCTGTGGTGTTGGACAGCTCTACAGCTCGTGCTGCCATTGCCTTTATGGAGATAACCTGTCAGTGCCACCATGTCCTGGCTGACTCCTGCTTCTGTTCACTGTGTGCAGTAGCTGTGTATCTGAACCAGCTTCCCAAATTATTCTGTGTTATGGGACAAGTGTTGGCTCACAGTTAACCAGACTGGTTGCCAGCTACATCATCCTCCTGTCCCACATAATGCCATTATATTTCTGCTCTGCAGTTACCTTTTGTTTTCTGGTCAATGGTATCTAGAGGTGGCAGTGATACGCTAGAAATTTCCCTAGCAGCTATTTTTCCTCAGCTTTGGAAATAATCCTTTTTTTTTTCCTGAAAGGAGAATACTTCCT